TTTTTAATTATTTCTCTTTGTTCTGTTTTTTTTTTTTTTGTATTATTCCGGAATAAATAAATAAAAATGAAATGAAGTTTGTAATATTATTTTTAGTTTAATATTATTGCGTTATTATTATTATTATTATTATTATTATTATTATTATTATTATTATTATTATTGTTATTATTATTATTATTATTATTACTATTATTATTATTATATTGTATGTTTTTTTTTTTTTAAATGTATGTTTATGCTTCAGTTTACTTGATACTTGACTTGATACTTTAACATGGTGTATATTGTAATAAGAAATCAATTTCATGTACAATGTTTCCTATACTGTAGCAGAGATTGAGAATTTAAACAGGTTCTTGCATCTTCTGCTCTCCACCCATATGATACACCAGGAGCCGATTTTAGAAAATAACCACATCTGTAAGAACAAGTTCTCGTAATCAAGAAAGCTCCAATTAGGGCAGTATAATAGAAGCAGTAGAGCTAAAAGAGATCTACTGTATTAATCAACTATTATTCAAACAGCCGAGTGTTCCTAGAGCTCCTTGTGAGGGCAGTATAATAGAGGCAGTAGAGCTTAAAAAGATCTATTAATCAAACAGTGTTTAAGACAAACTATCAAGTACTGGTAGGTAGACTTGCAGTGCAATTGTTTACTTTATATTATAGACTTTATAAATGATAATTCTGTAATTTGCAAGCCATTTACTAATATTCAGTTTAAGTGAAATAAAAGAATTAATGATGATAATATTTTTCTTCTCTTTTTACTAGACATGTTTACTACCTGACGTTGAAGAATCGTTTGTTACTAGGACATTACGTTGTTCATGATCAAGAGAAATTGGATCTGTTTGCTCTGATAGCTCAGGCAGAACTTGGCTGTGCTCAACATGTGGTTCCTACGCAGTACCACACGGTGTTTCCTGCATTATTGTAAGTATACATACAAGAACATAGTGAGGTGTTTTGTATTTATGTATAATGATTTTGATTTGTTCACCAGATGCTTAAATTAATGATAATAAGGAGTTTTCGATTGCACAACAATGGTAGGACGTAGAACGTAATGACGTCACTAAAAGTCGTCTGCGCATGGGAGAACATTAAGGTCACCTCGTCGAGTAAATTCTGGAACGCAATTTGGCCAAGTCTACATATGCAAAGAACGTAGGACGCCAGGTAGGATGGTCACGCATGAGTGATTCCGTTCTAGCGTCGCGTCGTCGCACAAATCGAAAGCTCCCTAATAGTACAGTGAGTTTCTGTTGGAGTCCTGAATATATCAAAGAAAATGCTTAAAAGATAATGCAATAATTTTCTGTCAGAGTCCCGAATTAAAGGAAAATATATGTAGAGTATATTTGTTTTCTGCTTCCATTGTCATACCTAATCTGTAATATTTGACTGACAATGTAGAATAAAATAAAGTTTGGACGAAGGTTCACAACAATGTGATTTTGTCCTTATTGACCATTGAATATGCTTGTGGATGAGAGTTAGTCAATATAGTGTCATAGGATAACACTAGAAAAATGATCGACCATAATTTAAGATCAAATATGCTAAAACAATGTAAGCCAGCTGCATAGTCCTTTTCTGAGAGACGCAAGTCACCAAATCCGAACAAATTTTATGTTGGCTGGGGGCCAATGTGAAATTGTGTGACCTATAAAATTTTAGATAACGCTGACCCTATGCAAGGTACCGTAATAAGACTGGGAATGCAGTCAATTTTAATTTCTATCCCGTTGCCGAGTCTGTTGGATGTGATTAAATTGTCAATATACCGTAGACGAAGAACAAAGTTTGGAAATATTTGTTTAGTGTCGGTTATAAATAATTGAGAAGTTCTTCTGGTGGTATACCAGAATATTTTAAGCGCCCGGGCGCTTAAAATATTTTATGCACTTTCTGAGGGGCGCTTATTCAAACGGGGCGCTTAATCGCGCGAGTACGATAATTAATACTAATGATGGTGGAGTTTTTTTATACAGCTTGTTTCTGATTAGGACTGACCTGGAAATTGTAGGCCTGTTGTACTGTTCAAAAAAACAAAATACAATGACAGTGAACTATTTTTTACAATGTTATTAAATTGTGATTAATTGAAAAAAAAGTATTACTAAGCTAACCATCAAAAAGTCATACATTTTTAATTAAAGTTTTAAAAAAAGAAACTTAAAAATTTTAATTATACAATTAACAATAAACATCAAGAAACATTTTTAGAATTCCACACATTAAAATAAAAAAAAATTTTTTAAACCTGAAAATACACCACATTTTCCCATTATTTTCTTCTTATTCTTTAAAATAATTATTGCTATTTATTATTTATGTTGTATTTTATTTGCTTGGATAAAAAAGGCGGTCACGGTAAGTTAGAATTCAATTAATTTTAGTACTGGACGGGACTGCTCTAAATTGCACTATTCTGGAAAAAGGATTTCATATTTTATATTTCTATGGAGTTCTATTAATACGTTATTTAATTTTTTGGAACCAGTAAATTACATCTTTTATTTTTGCCGACTTTCAGCTTTTTTTGATTTTCTAACTTCAATTTTTTTTTTTCCCAATTCAAGGTCTGACGTCTTTTTGGCTTTATTATTTTTGCTATCCTCAAACTAAACTTTTTTTTTTAATTTATTTTCTTTGGTGCAATCTAATAATAAATATTTGTTTTGTTTAATTTCTTATATGAAAGAATAATTTAATTTTTAAAATTTCATCATTAATTCTGTTGCAATATTTTTATTAAATCTATTTTTTTTTTTATGTAATAACTTTTCTATTTTAGTATTATAGATCTGTTTATTTCAGGATTTTATTACTTACTGTATGTTAGTAAATTTTTCTCTTTTTTGTCTAATTAATGTCAATGTCAAAGTCATCATTATTCATTCTCAAAAGGAGAAGATTACAGTGTTCGTCTGATTTTTTAATTTCATCATTATTTCTGTTGCAATATTTTTATTAAATCTATTTTTTTTTACGTAATAACTTTTCTATTTTAGTATTATAAATCTGTTTATTTCAGAATTTTATACTTATGTCCCTACACCTAATTGTAGGAGCTCAATGTATACGTCTCTTACATTATTTGTATACTTAACCCCTGAAATGTGTTTAATTTATGGCTGTCTCTTATACACATCTAGATGTGTATAAGAGACAGTATATATACTGTAATATAAAAGATAATGAACAAAAGAAAAATAACTTTGATTATTAGAAGATAGGATAGTATGTTACTGAGAAGTTATATCAGATTCAGATGTTCTTTATTGAAACACTTTAGAATCAAGGTGTCACATTCTTAGTCATATGTTGTAGAAAGGTACTGTATCATTGTTGAACCTTTATCTACAGAGAGTACACAGTGCACCCAGGAAATCCACGCATGAACAAATAATGATGTATTGTATAGTCCTTTCTAACCATTACTCTATGATGTGAGAATTTATTCATAATGGCCTCCAAATATTGTCAATGAGGTGTTTATTAAATGTGAAATTGATTTTATACTTGTATTGAAGAGTATTTTAACCCTATGGCCATATAATCTAGCTATTGCCAATATAAAATATAACATGGTACTTTAGTATTCAACTACCGTACTACAGTATTTAAATTTAAGCATGAATTCTCAATATTGTGATTACCCGACACTTCTTCATAAATGTACGATGTAGTATAAAATTATACTACTGACAGCATTGATTGTCAAATTTTTATCTGATCCAATATCACGCTTGTTTAACATTTTAAAATTATTGAAGTTGATTTCTTTCTTGCAAGCAACTGACATGATTCTGTGTACAGTAAATCAGACAAACTTTATATGTGGCATTTTGTAAATGTTCATAATATGCAAAGTGTATTTTCTAACCTTAAATTTTGCCCAATAAAATAACAGACTTGACATGATTAATTTTTTTCTGTTAAAAACAAAAAAAGCATCGCCATTACCATCCTCTATAGTACCGTATCATTGCATTCATCATTGTCATCTTCAGTGGTGTACCTAGAAAGGTGCACGAGGGAACACACCCCCAAAATAGTTTGTGCCACCAGTCGCCCCTCCCCCATTTGAAAATGTTGAACAAAAATAATCACGCTCAAGGTACTGTAGTTTAAATCTCACCTCATATGACCTTATTTTGCAACCTAGCGCTCCCTTACTTAATCATCAACATTAAGCTCCCAACTCCAAGCTTCGTTCCCCTCATCAGCCCTCCATTCCAGTTCAGCAGATAATAATAATAATCAATATTTATATAGCACCTGATGTTAACCTTGAGGCGCTTAGCAAAATAATAGTTAAAAATTAAAACGTCATTGGTCATCTTGCATGTTCCTCATTATACTTAATATATGCCATTATTATGATCACTCACTGGCTTCATCATTGCTGTTGTTCTCAGTAACAGCTGCCACTGTCATTTTAGCTATCGTTGCTGTTGCTGTAATCAACATTACAAAATCTTTTTGGGAAAAAAACATTTGTTTATTGTACTGTATGTCCTCAAAGTTATTGTCATAATATTCATTAGTTTCAGCAGTATCACCTGATTATCATTATCGTCATCATCAGTACTCACCTGCCAAGTTCATAGGTCACATGATTAATATTTGGAAAATAGAAATCATGAATAAGAAAAATTTCCTTTTATCAATAGTGACAATAATCCCATTATTGCAGACTGAGTCCACTCTCATACGATGCAGATATTTCATGATTTATATATATTTTTTTATATCCTTATATTTTCCTTTCAGTGAAACAAAACTATCTGAATTGGAGAATGCCCATCGCAGGTTAGACATGTATATGACCAAATCTTATGCAGAGATTAAGTTCATCAATAAGATTAGCAAACTGACAGGGTATGGCGTGGAGTACTTCACAGCAGAGTCTTTTGACAAGAAAGACATTGTTATCGGAGTGTGCTGTACTGGTCTTCAGGTTCTCTCCAAAGAAAGGCAGCTCAAGCATAAGTAAGTTTAGTGTTAATGTATTCATGAACTTTGGAATGAATGGATTTAGTAATTATTTTGTCCTAAATGTGTTTTGTTATCACTTTTCAATGATCATCAATAATTTAGTGTATGAAGAACACCTAATAAAATTGTCGTTATCATTAGCCATTTTTGAATGAATGCATGGTGAAGGTCTCAAACATCACACAGTAAGTGTCGATTTTGTGTTAGGTTTGCTCATCCTGAAATCCTTAATTGCATAATTTTGAAAATATAAATCAACAGAATAGCTAAAAAAGACAAGCAAAAGGACTGGTAGCAGACTCAAGGACATATGTTTACAGTACAAACCCTATATTTCAACATTAAATAAAAGAAAACAACAATGTTATATATAGTACTTAGTAGTATTTTTAAATATGCAAATATTAAACATTTAATTTCTACATCAAATTTTTAACTTCCTATAAGGTTCATTACCACATTACTTCCTAGTAATGGGGTAAATCAGAGTTTAGTAAATCATTTTAAAGCGGGCTTAGAGAAAGTCTGGTCTGGCCACCACCTTAAATTCTGCCCGTATATGACCGAAGAGGATTCGATAATGATTGAGGGACAAATGAACTTTGATCTCTAAGTCTCGAAGATTCAAGGTAAATTCAATTAAATAACTCCCAATTACATTATATCTAAATTAAATTTCATTCTAAATTATACATCAGTGGTAATACTGGTTACTTACAGTATAGTTTAAAATTATCTACAGTATAGTATATACTGTACTTTTACACTGTAGCCAGTATTTGGGTGATATGTACAGTAATGAATTGCACTTTTAGTCATTTTCATCATCATCATACCCACCACTATTGTCATCTATCCTCAAAACAAAACTATTATTTTCATACTTTGTTGAATGCTCTTGTTTTACGTGTGTTGCTGTTACAGTATTATTTTTCGTTGAAATTTTCTAATATAGTACCTAGCATTTGCTCTACTCTATCAATATTGTTGCTGTCGTTGTACTGTTGTTTCTTTTAATAATTAGATTGATTTTACAGTGACAGGGTTCAAAATACTTTTTATTCCACAAGAATATCTTCTGATTTCTATTTCCTATAATTACTTTCGTAGTGTTCATACACGTCATAACAAAGGCAATTATGATTAATTGAAAAGTGAATCACATGGAGGTCCCTTGTGGATTTTTTTTATTGCACATCCAACAGCAAACACACTAGTTAATTACAGATAGAACAATACTCTAAAGTTTCATTATGAGGTTTGGTATTGGAGTTGTTATAATCATAACATAAAATATATGTCTAACAGGATTTGAACCAGGACACTTGGATTTGAAGCAATCTTCTTAACTCTAAAACATAGATGGTGCTGTATTAAGTGATTATAAGACAAAGGGCGCTATAGTAAGTAATTAAAATATTCAGTGTGCTGTATATATTATATCTTTTAGTTGTCTACTTCATTGCTGACAGGTATACAAGTCCACTTGCTGTTGAGATTAGTAAATTTAGAGCATCACCAAGTTTATTTCATCTTTTAAAGTCACAAGATACTTTCCAGGAATGATTTTTCTTTTAATAGGCCTACACTAGTCTTCAAACTATTTCAATTAACTTTTGATGACAACTGTATCCTCAATAAGGCAAAGCCAAGGTCAATGTATATTGTCTATCTATCTTTTTGAGTTATGATCTTAGATACTGTAGTTGCATTATGAGCATTTATATCAGGGCATTATTGGCGTGTAGTACTACCCTGACCACTGTCCTCATGAACTTGAGTATCCTAGAGGATGACTGATTTTATGATGTTGGCCTGAGTTCAAGTCTCAGATTAATTGCTTTTTCTCTGGTACTGTACAGACCCTGCACAGACCCTACAATGCTTTAATGTGGAGTGCTGGTTAAATTTAAATGTTATAGCAGATATTAAAAGTACAGTACATGTGTCATGTACTATGCAAGGCCAGTGTTCATATTCATTGCTATTTAAATGTTCTCTTTTTATTAACTATGAGCCCAATCACACTTATTAGGCCGGCCTAGGGTCAGCCCAGGGCCGCCTTAAATACGGCCGACTCAGGGCCGACTCAAACAAATTTTCCCGTTCACAGTTATTTTTTAAGTCGGCCAGGGCCGCCTTACGGACGTTCACACTTCTCCTTTGGGCCGGGTCGATGAATTGCAGGACAGGAAGTTCGAGGCGATCGCATTACATGATGGTGGAACGGTAAATCACAATCTAGCATAAACACATAGAATTTGTGCAAAACATGAACCTAATTTCAAATATTGTCCTTATACTTTTCGATTTTTTAAGCATAGCATTCTGCTTCATGATTATGGCGACGATAATTATTATAATAACCAAGGCCTATAATTAGCACAGCTCGACTTTACTCTGTGCAAAACCAGACTCCAGATTTTGGAAGTCCTTACCTGTATATTGTAAACTGTATAGGCCTATGTTAGACTGAAGGTTGCTGTCAATGTTTGGACACAGATTGTGAATAAGTAGCATCGAGATCTATCTATTTGGCAATAATAATTATTTTCGTATTAAGTTCATTCACAAACAATTTTTGACGCTTTTTAGAACCAGCTTCGCTCATAACAATTTTTTCTCTACTGGAATTCAACTGTAGAAAAGAAAGTCGAAGCATACGACTTCTGCCAAACTGCCCATGCGTAAGCTTTGTATCACATGGTATTCCCAATGCCTACAACTTGGTTCTCGTGATGCTTATGCTTCGCACGGAGGCTGTGAGTAATAATTAGTTAGGCATGGACCTTATATAACAACTTTTATTCAAAAACAATAGTTCAACTGAATACAATTACTCTACAGTTTCCTTAACAATTTATTTCTCAATGGTGTTTTTTCGCGCAAGTCAGTTCGAATGAATGTTGTGGTAGATAAGATGTCAAAATCGACCGCAATCAGAGCGAACTTGGGCCGGCTCAGGTTTGGCTTATGTTCCGATATAAAGTTGGGTCGGCCCAGGGCCGGCCCAGGTCTCTCATTGCGGGACCAGAGCCGACTCAAAAGTCGGACTAACTTTAGTTCGGCTCAGGGCCGGCTTAACATTTATTGATTGTTCAGACTTAAAAAATGCCGACCCTGGGCCGACCTAACTCTTAAGTGTGATTGGGGTCTATATTTCTCAGTAAGAGTGTACTCTACTGTACTTCTCCTAAGAATGAGCAACTAAAAATCAGCTATATTTGTGATGTGTGTACACTCAGACCTGGCTGCATTATCATTCACTAAAGTGAATAGTTTGAGAACCATCAGTCAATGAAAAATATAAATGCAAGCCATCATTATACCAATATAATTTTCTTTTAAATAACTTTAGTAATTTTACCATCTTCTATCAATTTAGAGGACAAAGGTGTTCAAAGCTTCAACCAGACTATGAAAGTTGTAAAAGGGAAGTTATTTTGTAATATTGTAATTTGTTAAATGCGTAAGAGGAAGCAATTTTTTGGAAATTTAATATAATAATTGGTAGAAATAACTAATTTAAAAAGCTATCAAAAGCACCAAATGAACAAAGAACTATGATGATTTCCTTAATAATATGTTTCACTTCAGATTTGAAGTTTTAATGAAATTTAGGACTGTTCAAACAGAAATGAGTAATAATTCCAGAGATCAACGGAATTGCAATTTTAGCTTTATTGATTAGTTTCTTAGAAAAGAGGCTTCTTGAATGTGTTTATTGGTAGAATAAAATGCAAGGAATGGAAACATTAGGTTATTTCTTTATTAGTTCCTATGCATGTAATGCAATAGGAACTATTGTAATCACTCTGTCACATTTCTTTTGTTTTTTATTGTGTGTAGTATGTGTGTGCGTATGTGTGTAGACATTTATGCAAATACGCATGCATCAAAGAAAAGTTTTCCGACATTTTGTTTTAC